GGCACAGGGACCTTCGCCAGCGATGCACTGAAGCTGTCCGGCGCAGGGCCTGACTTGACACTGAAGCCGGAAGCTATGGGCGATGAGAAGGCGACCGTCGCTTGCCTTGGAGGGGCCACAAGGCCGGTTGGAGGAGGCGGAGGAGGCGGAGGCCGGGGATGCTCGGAGCCCTCGGACATCTTTCCACTTTTGAGTCCATCATTAGGGCCCACCCGCCACCAGCAACGCTTGCCGGACCATGGCGTGACTCCGTGAATGCTGCCTTTATCTGCCTAAACATGCTGTCTCTCTCCCGCTCTCTCCCTCTCTCCTTATACCGCAAGCACAACACTGCGACGGGTCTGATGCTGTCGGGCGATTGCCTCGATGGTGCTTTCTGTTGTGGCTCAACCCTCTGCAAACCGGAACATCCTCCGGACAAGGACATCTCTCTCCATGACAAGCTGCACACTCTACTCGGACCTTAACGGGACCGGCCAGGGACAGGGTCATGGCCTGGGCCGCGCCGCCAAACGCTTCGCCTAAGGACGCAACCGCGCCGCTCGCGCCGCCGTGCCGCCCGCGCCTGGTGCCCCAGACACTCCGCCGCCGCTTCCCAGGCGCTGACCTGGGGCTGAGCGGAGCGCCGGCCATGGCCCCGGGGCCCCCGGGGCCCTGCCCTGCGGCCGGCCTCCCTGTCTGGGTCTGACGGTGCGAAGCCCAAGGGCGCGAGGAAACCTGCCACCTGCCAGCAACTTCTCCTCTTAAGATCTCCCTCCCACTCAAGCTAAGCCGAGTAAGCCGACCTCCGGGCACGCGTTGCTGATTTCAGTGAGAACCTGAGATCTTGATGACACGAATCGCATTCTGCGTTCCCGGCTCTGATGCCCCCGGCTGCCAGCAACTCGTCCCTCTCAGCAGCCAAGCTGTCGACCTGCAAGCTCATTGTCATCTTGGAGTTAATATGCAACGATGTTGCTGACTGATTGGACGTGCATGCGGCCGTTGATGTGTGGGATGGGTGCACGTATCCAGGAACATGCGTGGTTCAATTTATTCCTGCCCGAGCTAACATCGACAACACGTGCAAGCGCAAGGCTTGAAAGTACTGGCTATGCGAATGAACAATCTGATGCTAGCAAACATGTGAAAGGAGGCAGGTGAAAAACAGCAGGGTGAGAACTGAATGATGTACCGTCAGTTCATGATAAACACGCATCTTGCAAGCAATCAGGTCTGGGCTTCGCAGGGGTTGTTTTTGCATCAAGAGCCCGTTGCAGCTGGCGATCTTCATGTGACATGCTCGATTCCATGCTCGTGCGCGTCGTGTGCAGGTGTGCGACTTGTCTAGAGTCTGGATACCAAGAAACACTTGAAGAGCCCATGGCGAAACGCACATCCCGAGGCCTTGAAAAAAGAGTGCGCCAGACTTGGAGCCTCTCACGTGTCCCCCACAGCCCCAGTTGCTATGAGATTCGCTGCCTCAGCCGAGATCCTGAAAACGCAGTGACGGCAGCGCGGCGGCTGGCAGCCAACGCCCCCAGCTCTCCCGGCCACCCCCCAAGCGGACAGAGCCCTCGACGGAATCTCCAGGACTTGGAAAACAGTCCTTCACGATCAAGCGAGCAGTTTCCGGCCAATAGACAGCCATGCGCCACGCAAAAACGACTTAAGGACGGCTACAGTGATAGACGGAGTGAACGCGAAAAGCAGAAGTAGCAGCGCACGCACAAGATCCAGCTGGATGATCTTCGATCGCTGTGAGCCGAGAGCTGAGTCAGCGGCCTCCGCGTGACTTGCCTCCGAGGACAGGAAAAGGGGACGCTCCAAAAACAAGGCGAGCTCTCGGATCGGCGCCTGCTGCAAGGGCCGAAGGGGCTCTTTGCGCGCCTCGGCTTCGTCCAGCGCCAGAGCCAGCACCTGAGAGCGTACGAGTAGGAGAGAGAGCTGATGAGAGCTGCGAGGCGCAGTGCCGACTTCGGCCGCGTGCCTGGAGCTGCTGCTCGAGCTCCTCTGCAAAGTGCGACTGAGTCCACCCGCAGGGCCCGGGGCTTCGCCCTCCTGTCCTGGCGCACCGTGCGCTGCCGCTGGCGCTCGCGGAGCCGAGCCACCTGAGACAGAGGAGTCGAATCGCGGGTCGGAGCAGGGGTTCGGAGGGTTGGAGCCTCCACGGAGCCACGGCTCGCCTGCAGGAGATCGGACCTGTCAGAAAGCTTGGCTTTCGCTCTTCGCTCTTCCCTCTTCCCTCTTCGATTCTAGGACCGCCACTGGGCTTGCAGCGCCTCGCACTGCTTGGTAAGGGCCCCGACCTCCAACGCAGGGGTTCGTGGCGATATGAATTCCACCCCCAAAGTCCTCCCTCAGCCATGCCTTCCACAAAAGGAGCGTCTTATCCTCGTCGGTGGTCAACTTCCGCAGCTCTGTGTTCTCCTCCTTGAGTTGCTGCACCTGCCAAGGCCCCGGACCCGGAGAGCACCAGAACAGTGTCCTTGACTCAAGACTTCGTCTCAAGCTGGTGTGCCTCGGCCCGGAGAGATCTTAGCTCCTTATCCTGCATCTTGATGAGGTCTTTGAAATGCTCAGCCACATCCTGGCGACAGGAACCCCTGACGCGTGTGTGCTGAGATATTGTGAGACCGACCTCGGCCATGCCGGCTGCAGGCGAGCCCACACCACCCGCACCTCCGAAGCCACGAGCGGGGCGAAAGCCCATTTGCGACGCACGCGCCGCGGCGCCGCGCGGCGCCGGCCTCGCTCCAGCCAGATGCGGACCTTGCAAAACAAAACAGGAAAGGGGAGGGAGGGATGAGGGACGAGGGACTCGGCTCGCGGAACACCGGCACCGTGGGATACCGCTCCGGGCCCCGGCCATGGCTTCCTGGATCTCCTGGAAGCGCCGCGCCGCCACCGCCGGGAAGCCTCGGCGCGCGCTGTGTGGTGACGCGTAGCCGCAGAGCGCTCTCCCGGAATCCCTCGGAGCCGTTTGCGCCGTTTGCGCCGTTTGCCAGAGCCCGCAGCCGACGGGATAGCGCCGCAACCGGGAGGCCTCTCGACACAGAGATTTTCGGCTTGGGCGGCCCTGTGCCCTTCCACGGGCGGCAGACGGATGTGTCCACGTTGAGGCACCGCAAAAATTCCTCGAGGTGTTTCGGATTTCGGCTCGTGCAGGGCCGCAGGGCTGTGGAACCCTCAGTCCCAGCACCTCTGCCGCACGCGTGAAGGCGTCCACACCTGGAGTGCACGGCAACAGCCCGGAGTGGAGACGGGCAACCTGACGGCCGCCACCGACACGGGCAGCCAAGATCTCCATGAGCCGGCCCTGACTGACAAGCGCATCCTCCTGCAATCAGCTTCAGGTCTGAAAGGCGGAGCGCAATGAAAACAGTGAGCGCAGTGCCTGGGAAGGGAGCTGCAGCAAACAGGTGCCCAGCACCAAAGCAGTGAGGCCGCGGACCTTTCCGAAGTGCACGGAAAGCCTGCGGCAGTATACCGCACTGGGGCACCAGGCATGCGCCCCATGCGAGGGCGAAGTCGAGGGCTCCAGCAGTGCCACCAGCTCCGGCAGCTGCGCTGGGGAGCGGGCCAGGACCTGCAAAGTTAGAGTCAAAAACAGGACTTAACGGACTTAAACAACCACAACTTGCACAACTTGATAATTGCTGAAGGGTTCGCCAACCCGAGCTTAGGCTGGCATGTCCTGAACCCTCGGGCACACGAGCCGTCATAGTTCCATCTCTTGCCGAGTATTTTTGGCCAGTTTTGGTTGGTTTCTGTTGTTGAATAACACAGTTACCAGTTACCTCGAATTCGTGCCTGTTCTTGTTCGCGGTCAAAAACCTATAGTAACAGCAGCAACCATGCTATCAACATCGACATCAACCGAGCATGCTGCAAACTTCGGATGCTGCAGGCTCGCAATATGATTTGTGATCTGGACGAAGGACCGCGGACTGCGCCTCTGCTGCTGAAGTGCAACCGTTGCACCACTCGGCCACGAGCTGCAGAAGAGCACACAGCGATGCGCTTGGGTCACCCACCACTGCCTGAAGTTGCACAGTCGACTTGAAACTTCCATCAAGACGAACCTACACATCATTCAATGGCTTTTGGTACTCAAAACGGAGTCTTCGCCAAGCATTTGCTGAGCCTTCTCCGACTGCGACGTCAACTCCTTCGTCCACGTTTAAACATGTCAGTCCAACCCAATGTCGCCGTCTCGCTATGCATATGCATGGCACCCGTGTGGCCCTTTTGGGCCTGGGCTGCTTGCGATCGCCAGGCGCGTGCCAAGCCGGCCAAAGGTCCAAGGACTTCCGTCAGCAAGCTGCTGCCCTGAGCTCATGTTGACTCACTGCAGCATGCATCGCATTCCAACAACCCCAGCCTGCTCGCTTGCGGAGGTCCTTTCACATGACAGATGTGCAAGTTCTTCTCTGTCTCTCCGTCACCCGATTCTACCCCTCCCACTAGGAAGGAAGCTCCGAAACCTGTCTCCTCCTGCTCCTGCTCCTGCTCCTGCTTTTCCTGGTCCTGCTGCCCCTTCTGCTCCTGCCGCTCCGGCTGCTCCTGCTCCTGCCCGTTCCCTGCCCCTGCCCTATGCGGGGTACGCAGGCAATACTCTGACCAGTCATGTTTAAAACCGTGTAGGCGCGTTTAGACCAGGTCAAAACCGTTCACGATGCTAAGTTGTCAAAAATACCTGTTTAAACTTGTTTGTTCATGATCCTTATACTCTATTGGACTGGAAGCGCGGATGTCCGAAGCTTTCTCCATCCGACAGTCATCATGAGTACATCGAACATCTCCGGATATGAACATCACGTCGTTCCTTGAGGGGCGCCCGGTGTAGATCGGGTCCATCGTAATCATCGACGTAAACAGATCTGCCTCGCTGAGCGAGAACTTCTGTTGAAGATGTGGCGGAGCTCGAACACGCCACCTCACGTGTTGGACCTTAGAGTCGCCGACATGATCCGTCCTCACCGAATCATGGTAGAGGCCAGTCTGGCCGTAGCCATATTTCTGATCCGCCAATGCATAAGCAGACTGGTCCGTTCAATTTTGTCGTGCCGCTCCCAATATTCGGCAAATTCCGGGGTGTAAAGAAGTCCTTCTCTGTCCTTCTGGACCTCGAGGTTGTCGAACGCTCGTTCGTTTTCTACTTCCGCACTGGAAGCAGCCCCGGTAGCCTCTCCGAACTTCTGTAGGGATTAAGTTTTAATGCTGAAGACTGGCGTGGAGTTTACCTACACGCTTCACCTCTACCTCTCACCTTGTGTGGATGAGGAGGAGATCGGGGACTTGTCACTGGACAAAATGCCGTATCCACAACTCTTCCGCTTTGGTTTTGCAGAAGATGCACCCATTCCGGTGTACACGAGCAAAAAAAGTATACTGTGCTGATCGTCAACCTCGGCGACATGTCCCTGCGGCCGCAAGAAGTCCGCCCCCAGTGCGTTTGCAGACGACATTGAGTACGACTCAACTGGGGTGAGCCGCGGTTCCCTGATCAAGTCCATCGCTCAGGCCAAAGCTCATCTGTTCACGCTTTGTGAAGCATGCAAGATCAATGACGATGAGATGGACTTCCTATACAGTCGTGGATGGCAATTCATCCGCAACAAGGATGGAGATCTTCTTGTCGGTTGCCGTACAAACAGGGTTGGATCAACGATGGTACAGTTGGTCTCGACACTGGTCGGGGTAGCCCACCAGCATCTCCCATGTTCACACATGATAGTGGAAATCAAGTGCGGCAAGATACTTCCTGCTGGGCAGAGCGGCAACCGTGGGGACTTTGCTGATGCGTCCCTGACAGCCCCAGTGACCAGAGCCGGCAGCTCTTCTATTAGAGTTTGCGTCTTTCATCTGGACAGAGGTGTTGCTGGTGATCACGATGTTCACAGATTGCTTGCGTTATCAGGTGGATCTTGTCGGAAGAGTTGCTAGAGCAATGGGAAGATCAGTTTGGTAGTCAAGCGTACAAGGATTGCAAACAACCGGATTGGAACACTTTCCTTGGCTTGGACTCGCTTATCGCCACGGTCTTTGAATGGGGACATTCCATGGATGATGCGCAATGGGCCCAGACAACACCTACCAAAAGGGAGTTTAAGGTCAGCGTGTCGGAGTGGGTCCTCAATTCAGCGGCCTACGACCGGAACTACGATAGCCATACTCCTCTTCTCATCGAGGTTCATGCGAACCAATATACGGGAGGAAGGATGAAGGCTATGAGCCGTAACCCTGGCAGCGTTAACGATGCAGCGGATAGAAGGAAAGACAGACAGAAGCGGAATAGAGCCCTTGGGTCAACTGATCCTGCTCCTGGGGCAAGCTCTCCACCGGGAGAGGTAACTCCTGATGCAACCACTTCCCACGTCCAGCTGAACCCGCGCATCCTCCACATGCTGGTAAGCATGGTGGCAAAACTGGCAGCAAAGGAGGCAAGTCCTCCAAAGGCTCGAAGGGCAAAGACAAAGGCCAAAGGCAAGGGCCAAAGGATAGTACTGACTAGATTCTGACTCCGAGCCAGAACAGCCAGTCTACGAAACAGTTCGAATTCGTCAGCGTCCTCCTCCACTGATGCCGAATTTCTTTGTTCGTCGCACATGCGGTTCATCATCGAACAGAACCTCTACCCATTGACGGATGAAAGGACTCGTGATCGGAGTTGGGACCATGACATCGAAGATGTGGATTGAGTACTTTGAAGGGAATGCTTCTCACAGGAGAAGGTATCCTAGTGTAGTGCGATTTCCATTTCTTGCTGAAGAAGAAGCCTTTCACTTGAAGGGGAACTTCTTATGCCTTCGTCAAAGACAATAGAGATACTTTGCACGGGAAAAGATACTCTGTCATTCATAGAGCCGCAATATGCCATCGCTGGCAACAGCAGGGCTATGCTCTACAATCTTTTGTTCGGTATGCTTTCCATCGGAGAGGTAACTGCTTAAGTGGGCAACTTTTAACCAGTTTGAATCAAGATCCAGTTGTGTGTGCGTGTTCTGCTTGTTTTTCAGGAAGCTGTCTCCAGGAAGAATGTGTACAGGCTGAGAGTGTATAGTTGTAAAGATGCCACTTTTGTAGTCTTAATTCGTTCTTGGGCAATAACAGGCAATGTAGAATGCCGACTTCACGGCCATGCAGATCTACGTGTTTTGAATTGTGCCTGGTTGAAACACTGATGTTACACATCCAGGTGCCGGCCTGTTTCACGTATCACTTGCATGTATCCATGCCGGTTGCTCAAGGTTCTAGCAGAGTACTGATCTACAGCTGTGCGCCTGTAGCAAAAGAGACACCTGCGCTTGCCTGTGTAGTTATTGTACGCCTTGCGAGGGCATACACGCCCAGGTTACATCTCAGGGGGGCAAGGGGGGGCCTGGCAGAGCTGCACCATGTATCAGCTTTAGCTCAGCGGCCTGGCCAGAGCCGCACCCGGCACCCTGAACCCAGGGAAGCGGTAAGCGTCTCCAGTCCAAACATGTGTTATTCAAACATATTCACCATGGCCTGGCACAAACACACTGGCCAACATGTTTGGATGCGTTTATGTTGGAATTGTTTCGATCTAAATGTGCTCAAAAACGACCGTGTCCTACACTGGAACCTTTGCCTCTCCGGAATTGTCCTCGACTCCCCGCTCTCTCCTACTCTCCCATTCCAGCCTTGGCTCTGCAAGGGCTTTACGCAGGCCACCGTCGCACAGGAGGCACGTCTCAAGCCTCGAGAGAAAAAATCTCGCGGCGAGTGACCCGCATGCAGTGCTGGGTCATCGGCAAGCGTGCCGCAAACCAAGTGTTACCATCCGCCGGGAACCAGTCCTGAGACTTGGGGAAAGGACCTGCATCGGCGTTTTCTCGGGGCAGCTCGGGGCCAGGCGAAGCCGCCGCCGCCACAGCCGCCTCCAGCCGGAGCACTGCCTTTTGGCCGGTCGGCTGCACGGAGGACGGAGAGCAGCTGGGAGCCTTGGGCAGAGCACACAGCACAGCGCGAGGAGGCGAGGTCTGGTCCCTGCCTGCGGCCGTCGCGGGCCCCTGTCCCATGCACTAGCCGCTAGCCAAGAACACGTGAGTCCTAAGAGCATTCCGCAGCCTCTTCCAGACACGGCCGGAGCAGCACCTCCATCTCCGGGTGCTTTATGCTTGCATGGCCATGCATGCGCTTCATGTCCTCTGGCGCCTGGCGCACATCAGCGCCGCTTACCGCGGTGGTCAGAAGAACCTGCGGCCAGCCCCGCCCGCCCGGCCCGCACGCTGCACTCGCTGCATGGAGCAGCCCCTTTGCCTCGATGGAAGCACGGAGCTCCAGCGAAGCCTGGACCTCTGCCAGCGCAGCTTTGCGAGAGCTTTGGGAGAGCGGCCCGAGCCCTTTCGTGCCTCTTCGCTTCCCAGCAAGATGGAGACCAGAACGTCCATGGCCGACCTGTCGACCTCGACGCGATGCACACATCACCGCGCACCGCGGTGCACCGCGGTGATCCGTGGGGCCTGCGTCTGCGTGAGGCTTGCGAGCGTCTTCTCCTCGGCCGCTGCCAGTGCACCGGCCAGCACCTTGTCACAGTCTCCCCTCACATCGGCAACAGCAAGGCAAGGGAGCTGCCTCCACGGCACGAAGCCTCAATGGCCCCAGGCCAGGACAGGGCAAGACCTGTCGAGACTCAGACTCAGAGATACAGCGACTCTGCCGCACAGCGCTCCTCCATGCAGACCATCTCAAGCAGACCGCCGCGGGACTGAACCTCAGCGTGAGCAACGCAAAACGCTGCTTTCAGCCGATGTCCGACTCCGACCTCACGCTCGGCTCGGCTCGGCTAAGCCCGGCTAAGCCCTAGCAGCCTTAGCAGCCTTGGTATCGCACCAAGACCTTGGAGTTCCCTGCCGCCTTCAGCGCGCCAGCTCTGCACTCCATCTCTGGCTCTGCCAAGCGCCTCTGAACCGGCTTTCATGACAAACGCCGCCAACGTGTCCTGCGATCTCTGTGGTGGGACATGTTAGGGCAATGTCAATCCCAGCGGTCCAGAAGCACTGTGGCAGCAGCCTTGGCAGCACACTTCCAGTGAGCGAGTGGCATTCATTGGTGCTGCGGGCCGCACATGAAGGCCGCTGGTCCAAGCGCTGCCCTCCGCCTCCGGAACGCACAGACTCCCCACTCACCAACCGCAACCGCATGCCTCGCATGCCTGCAGCGCCAGCGCACCGAAAAAACAGCGCAAGGTCCGGAGGACCGTCGTGAGGTGCCCGGCCTCTAACACTGAAAACCGAAGACCATCAAGCAACAACCCAAGATTCAACACCTGAACCAGGGTTTTTAGAACATCGGATATACCTTTCAGGTACAACTCGACGTCCTACCTTCCCTGTTTCCCCTACGCTACACGTCGCAGAGCTGGCCGACGCCTCCCGCATGTACTTCTGCGCGACCGGGCCCTGGCCGACGAGTTGCTGCACGCAGACCTCAGCTCCATGAGCTGAGACAGGGGAGGGCGCAGGAGGTGGCTCCAGAGGCCCTGGGGGGCCCTGAAGCCCTCACACAAGCATTGCCGGCCAAGCTGAGAAGGGCTGAAGCCTCGAATACTTGGATGCCAAATTCAGACGAGCTGGACCTTGCGAGCCGAGTTCGTGCTGAGGCCTATGCTGCGTCAAGCGATCCTGCTGCACGGGAGCAGGAAGCTGTAGCAAAAGCGGTTGCCATTGGCTTAGCGGGCCTGATGAACTGGCCACGCTCAGGGCCTGAAGCTCAAGGACTACGTCTCTGAATTTATCGGAGCTGCACACTGGGCGCAGGGCCTGGGTTGCGATGGCCAGCAGGGCCTGAAAACGCGAAACGCGACAGGCGTGGGCACCCGCGTTTTAGCGGGCGCTTGGAGACTGCCTCGGCTCCATCCTGGAAGGTGATGATCATGCGCACGTCGCCATCTTCTGCTGTCACCAGCCGCAGGAAATGCACCTCAGAAAACATTTCCGTCACAAAACAGAGCAGGGGGAGTGTTCTTGCCAGGGCCGGACACACTCGGCACACAGCGCAGCCTCCTCCGGGACGTCGGCCCAGCTGGACCCACCCGCCTCCTGCGACGCTTGTCACGCCGTTCAGGCCCTTCATAATTCATGAGTTCTTCTTTCTGCTGTCAACACCAGAAGCTGAATTTGAACCTGTTCTTTGAGTCTAAATAAAGTCTTCAAAGACTTGTTGTCCGGGGGACCGTGGACGTGGCCATAGTTATAGTTACGGGCCCCACTTTTGTATTTGCATGGCATCTTATTAGTCATCTAGGCCCTCATCCAACGGTCCACTTAAGCCTTTGCTTTGTGGGCGGGTTCTGAGAACTACTGTTGTCTTTTTTACCCATCTAATGCATGTGATTGAACATGTTGGCAAATGACCAACATACCCATGTGGTAGACTGCATGATGCTCATCCCGCCGTCACATGGTGGTGTCCTCTTAAGTCGCCTTGGCTGACTCCATCTTTCGACGGGAGATGCGATCTCTGCCAACAGTTGTCTGGGGCCCATCCTCTGCCTATCGTTTCGTTGCGGTATGTACTGGAGGTCTCTCATGTATAATTCGCGACTGCATGGCTGGTTGAGATGTCGACATGACCATCAGGGAGTTACTTGGATCACGTAACAAGTGACCCGTAGCATGATCACTCGCTGCGTGTCCTGGCTGTAGTAACTGTAGTTCTCTCCCTCGCTCTTCTTCGTGATCTTCTCCGTCGGACGGGATCGAAGAATGGGCCCGAACGGCTTCAGCTGTGCTTTGTGGATGTGGTGTGACCGGTGTGTGTCCTTCTCTCAGTATGCTGATTAGACTCGGTCCCTTCACTCCGATGACTCTGATTTTCTTCGAGCACTTGGCGCACAAGCTTGAGACAAGGGTCCTGCAAAATCTGCATCAAGGCTGCAATGGACTGTGGGTCGCTGAGGAGGTGGCGCCCTAGCACCTGCCGAGAGACATAGATGCAAGGAAAGAGGTCGCTTTTTCCAGCAAGGCACCTTGCTGGTCTGCGGGTAGACACGGCGAAGCAGCGCCAAGCCTCCAAACAAGAAAGCGAAAGCACAAGACGGCGCGCGAGACGAACCGCGAGGCGCAAAGAACTTCACCCCGAGCGGCTTTCCGTCCGCGAGGCCGGGTCCGTCGCCTCGCCACCGGAACGAGAGTATCCGAGAGGCACTGGGCGTATTTCTTGTGTTTTTCTGTGCGTTTCGGAGGGACGGCCCGCCTGCAGCAGCTTCAACATGGCCTTGCCGTTCTCCGTCCGCCGGACGATCTGCTCGTGGAAGGCGCACGTCTCCTTCGCCGACACAAGACCAGATATGTGCAGCCCACGACCTGCCCCGTGCCTCAAAGGTAGTGCCGGTGGAGTCCAAGGCCCGGCCCATGCCGTTCAGCGTCCTCCCATCAGACTCTCCGAAGAAGCCGCGCAATGCGCTTTCCTGCACGACGCTTGGCCTGGCAAGAGGCGCCGCCGCCAGCTTTGCTGACCTCAAATGCCGCAGCTTGCTAGCTTGCTGCTGGTGCCCAAACCTCTCCCGGGGCACCGCACTCCACGCGGCACAGGGCAGCGCAGACGACAGGAACAACCCGATCCTTGGGAATGCAAGCCCGCAAGCCTGGCAACAGCCACACCCCTTCCCGTTGTCGGCCTCCACGACCCAGCCGTGCAAGATGACCGCTGCCTGGCTTGTCGCCAAGACCTGGCGCCAACCCAACCAACAACCTCGAGCTCTCGAGGGGTTGCTTGCTCTACTGAGAGCCTCGAGGCGACGATAGGCTTCGAGCAGAGCTGCCTAAGCGACAAGCGGCAAGACTTCACAAGTCTCAGGTATCGGCAAGTCATAGCCTCGTCAGTGGCAAGCTGGATCTCCTGCACAGGCTTCCCGATCTAGATTGGCTCAATAGCTGCCTCTGATCATACTTGCAATGACTCGCGGCTTCTTGCTGTGCAGGCAGGGGAGTCTTTTGTCCAGCTGTGTATCAGGCCTGAATGCCATGACACGGAGAATCTTTCGAGGCCGCCTACCCCAACACACCAGCCGGTGGCTGATGGATCTGCAGTAGCCCTGGCCACCAACCAAAATTCAGAGCCTCTATCCATCCGGCTAAAGGGCGATCTCCAGGTTTCTGGGTCGCAGGAGTCATGCAGCTAATCCACCCACTTCGTCAAGTAGGTGCTGGCCTTCAACGCGGCCTCCACCTGAGCCGTGCTCATGGTCTTGTACTTCGACAAATCCTTCGGGTTCTCCCATTCAAAGAACTTGATGCCACCCTTAGTGACGGGCTCGCGGCCAAAGTGGCAGTAGGCGGCAGTGTCCTGGTACTTCGGCTCACGCAAAGCCAGGGACTGTGCAATGGCTCCAGGTCGGCAATCAAACTCGATTTTCAGCACACTGGTGATGTCATCCACGGTCAGGTTGCCCTTCTCGCTGCCATAAGTCTCCACAAACAGGGACAGAGGCTTGGCCACACCGATGGCATACGACAGCTGCACCAGGCAGCGCGCACTCAAGCCGCTGTTGACCACGGACTTGGCCATCTGACGGCAGATGTACGCGGCGGATCGGTCCACCTTGGTGGGATCCTTGCCAGAGAACGCACCGCCGCCGTGGGCTCCCCAGCCTCCGTAGGTGTCCTCGGATTATCGAACACCAGGCCTAGCAACAAAACAGCGAAGAACTGAGCACAGCCACACTCAACGCCTCACACTTCGCTGTAGTCTAGAGGCAATGATGATCTTCCGGCCGGTAAGGCCTGCATCGCCTTGAGGACCACCAATGATGAACTTACCTGAAGGATTGATGTGCAGGTGCGTGTGGCTGCCATACAGGCTGATGGCGGGCTTGCCGTTCTTCAGCTTGATCGACTCAAGCGTTCGCTTGATGACCTTCTCTTCGATCTCTTTGTTCATCTGCTCCATGGTGGGTGCAACCATCTCTGCACCGGTGTAGCCAGCACACTCCTGGGTTCGCTTCGCCTTGGACGGCTCCGCATGCTGCGTAGAGATCACCACGGTGTGGATCTTCTTCGGCTCAACAGACCCATCCGGGTGCTGCATATACTCGATCGTCACCTGCGTCTTGCCGTCAGGTCGCAGCCACCAGCACTCGCCACTCTTGCGCACATCGGTCAGGGTCTTGCCGAGCCGAGTGGCCATGCTGTGTGTCAGAGGCATGCAATCCGAGGTCTCGTCGCTGGCGTACCCGAACATGATGCCCTGGTCTCCGGCGCCAACGTCCATCTCGTCCTTGCCAACATGCACTCCACCGGCAATGTCCGGGCTTTGCTTGTTGATGCGCACCAGGACCTCGCCTCGGCCAATAAACGATGCCAAAAACAGCACCTGTTAACTTGGGTTGCTGCTTAAGGCCTGCGATGAGCCGAGGCGCAGGTCTTGTAGCTCAAGCCCTTGCTGTCCACACTGGACAGGTCGTCCACGAAGCTGTCAAAACCGATTTGCTGCACGACGCCACGCACCACCTCGTCGTAGTCGAGCTTGGCTCCGGTGGTGATCTCCTCAACTCCAACTCCAAAAATAACTTAGGGTTTTTGCTGACGCCAGCTCAACTCAGCAGCTCGGAAGTGGCATTAAAGAACAGACGACAATTGAGTCGATGGGGCGTAGCACCATTAGACTATGCCAACTTGCCGTGTGTGGCTCTAAGCCTCTAAGCCAAGGCGCTCCAGCCACCATAACCATGTTGTCCTTGGTCGCAGTCTCACAGGCCACCTTGCTCTTGGGGTCCACCTTGAGGCATGCATCCAGCACGGCATCCGAGACTTGATCGCAGATCTTATCCGGGTGGCCTCGGAGTTGCCGCGAGGCTTCGGGGATCTTCGGTGATCTTCGGGTGTTTTAAACTCCCTGCTCAGCTGTGGACCTTCGTTCACCGACTCCGAGGAGAAGAGGAAGGTACGCGTGGTGCGGGCCTTCTTCTGAGCGGGCTCGGCCATGGCGAAACGAGTGCAGGGCCGCAGGGACAGGCTTCTAGAGACCAAAACTGGAAACGGCTGCAGAACAGGGTGCTGCGCTACTGAGAGTTTACACGCTCACATGACAGATTCCATCCGTATCCTCCAGGACATCGTCGAGGTCCACTCCTGCGTCCATCTGCTGAACTGCCCCCTCAACCTGCGGCACGAAACTTCCGGTAACTGCGCCCTGTCGTCTGAGGCTCTTCGAGCCTCCTTCTCCACCGTCCCAACGACATTTTCCACCTACAGAGAAATGGGCTGTGCAAAGGAAGTGCCCGTGCTCCCTCAGCAAAGGAACATTCTCCACAACGCCCTCGAAGGTCTCCCCAATGGAGTCGATGAGGGAGAAGAAGGCGGATGCCATAGCAGCTTGGGCTTGGGCCTCATGAATACGAGTCGGAGGCCAAGAGACCGAAGGGGCCGAGCTCCCAGAAGACGCACCTCTTTCACGCTGTGCCGCTCCCTTCTGTTCTCCCGCCGGCCCTCCGAAGAGCTCTGGACCAAGTGTCCCTGTACATCTTGGGCTCGGAGAGATGCGCGAGTTGGGAAACTCGTGGCTGTCACTTGAGAAACGCCCTCGCCTTTACAAGGGCCTGGGGCCATTGGCGTCCAGTCTCAGCAGCAGCCTCCTCCCTGCACTCCTCGCCCCGTTTCAGATCGTATAGACCATCTCCACTTCCATTGCAGGACGTATCTAGGTTTGAAGAGCTGATGTTTATAAATGACGGAAAAGTCTCGCAAAACAGAAAATCATCAAGACGGCAGTCATATGCCCGTTCGAGAAAGCTTCCACACATGACTGAACACACACACACACACACACACACTCGCTTTGCTTTGCTTTCTGTCTGTCTCTGTCTCTCTGTGTCTCTCTGT